TTTTCATTGACAAGATGCCAAGGAGCGCTCGAACATTCAGGTGATCAAACAGCCCCGGAAAGCTGCTGCTTAAAGATGGTTAAGGTTAGGGGTCAAAAGGGTTACCAGAGATGCTTCATCAAACAACCCACAAAGCAGGTGAGGAACACAGGGGGAACTCCCAGCCCAAAACCATCATCACGTTGGTTCTGGAGGGTCATGGGCCCCCCAGTAACCGAAAGCCTCCCATATTCTTGGACTGTCTTCTTCCCAGATTCATAGGGTTTTAAAATACTTCTTGGTGCTCAGAAGGCCATCGATGCCCTCAGCCAAGAGAGAGCACATCTGCATCTCTAGGCATGAGAGATGATCTGATTAATTCATCGAGGGGTGTGGGCGTGGGCGAGGGGCTTAAATCCCTAAAAACAGTCAATCAAACCCTTGAAGTGAAATCACCTCGCTACAATGAAATGCTGTAATGCTCTCATGGCTGACGGTCACACTGGCTTCTGCGCGTCCGTAAGCCTGAGCCTTGTCAAGCTGGCGGTGACCCCCCAGCGTCCATCAGTCCTACCTGCTGGGCTCGTCTTGATTGTGGAGGCAACTGTTCACCGTGTTCACCAGAAAGCCAAACAGACGACTGTACAGGGACTTGGCCAGGAGATCCCGGTAGAATTCAGCCATCTCTGCGGTGTGCCGCCATGTGATCAGCTCCCCTGGAAGAGCAAGAGGTGGGGCGTGAGCACCAGGGTCCCTTGTTCAGACGCAGAGCTGCGCCCATGGATGTCTTCCTCCACGTCCACATCCATCAGAAGACGTTACCGGTACACTGACTTGAATAAATGAGCCCTCTGCCAGTTACTGCAGAACCATGTTTCCCTGAAGGGCGTGTCACACACGCTGCAGCCTTGTTTGCTGCAGGCGTTGACCCCAGCTTTGAGCGCCATGCAGGCTGTGCGATCTCCCTGCGGCCAGGGGACCGACTCACTGCAGAGCCCTCTCAACCAGCTTTCTGGTAACAGCTCATGGATGTGGATATGGAGCCATCCTCCAGGCACCTGGAAACCTGGCCATCTGGAGAATTCATTGTATTTTAAGTATTTTCAAAGAGCTGAGCCTGCTCATCACAATATGGGCCGGGAGTTGGGGAACAAGACTGAAGGTGGAAATCTCTTATTCTCAAAGCAGCGGTGGCTGAAATCCTGAGCGATAACGTTCTGAGTGGAGACTAGACTGGAGAGGAAACCGAGAAGGAAGTACAGGGAGGTGACTGGGGGTGAGGGACTCTCCGTTTCTGCCGGAGGGTGGCGGGGTGGCGGGCATCTGATGTCCACAGTCTGTGGTCGTGGCCAACCTGGCTACGCTGGGATGCAGGCTCATGGGGAGTCAAGCAACAGGATGCTGACTGTGTTAAATGAAGGCCTAGTATTTCGTGAGAATTAAAAATCCCAGCACTTGTCATATGACCCAGCAATCCCACTCCTGGGCATATATACGGAGAAATCTCCAATTTGAAAAGATCCATGCACCCCAGTGCTCATGGCAGCACTATTTACAACAGCCAAGACATGGACGCAGCCTAAGTGCCCATCAACCGAGGACTGGATAAAGAAGAAGTGGTATATATACAATGGAATATGACTCAGTCTTAAAAAAGAATAAAATCATGCCATTTGCAGTAACATGGATGGACCTGGAGATGATCAGACTAAGTGAAGAAAATCAGAGAAAGACAAATATCATATGATATCACTTATATGTGGAATCTAAACAAATGATAAAAATGAGCTTATTTACGAGACAGAAACAGACTCAGAGACATAAGAAAACAAACCTATGGTTACCAGCAGGGGGAGGGGGAGGGATAAATTGGGAGCTTGGGATTAGCAGATACCAACCACTACATAGAAAGCAGGTAAACAAGTTGCTAGTGTACAGCCCAGGGGGCGGTATTCAGTGTCCTGTAACAAGGGGAGGGTGCAGCTCAGCGGTAGAGCGTGCGCTCAGCATGCACGAGGTCCTGGTTCAATCCCCAGTGCCTCCATTTAAAAAAAATAAATAAATAAACCCAATTGCTGGTCCCACACAAAAAATTCTGTAACAAACCATAATGGAAAAGAATGTGAAAAAGAATGTATGTATATATACACACATATATGTGTATAACTGAATCACTCTCCTGTACACCTGAAACTAACACAACACTGTAAATCAACTGTACTTCAATTTTAAAAATTATGTAAAAATAAATGAATAAACAGAAATCCCAACATTTTCAGCACGAGGCACCATTCCCGTCGATTCACTGGTGCCTGGGAAGTGGCCGCCATTGCAACTGACGAGGTGGCGAGAAGAGGCTTCGCTCCAAGGAAGAGGGCAGCCAGGCACCTTGTACACCAACATTTTAATTGCGTGAGCCCTCCTGGATCAATGAGTTTATTTGTCTAAAATGACTGATCAGCTACAACAAAGGTGACCAGTTAATCAGAATGGTCTCTCAAGAGCATTAGGAGTTTCATAAAGGTGAAAAGCAACGTACAGAAAAATTTACCTTTAAAATATTGGATATCAGTCGTTAAAGCAGACGCCAATTCATCCGCTGATACTTGCAACATTCCAGCCACTAAAGTTAAAGCAGCAATGAAAACATATCATTAGTGTGTACTGTTTGATGGCAAGAACATTGGATTTTATAATTTGTAAGATCTGTATGGATCTATTAGAAAATGTGTGTATTGAAGGAACTAAACCACCTCTGTAAGCGGCCAGTGCAACTAGAGAGGCAGCTGACGGCAATCAAAACGCTAATGAGGTCTCGGGTATTAAATCACCACGGGTATTTTTTCCCTCCTTGCCCTCATGAATGGCCCAGGAGGCTTTTCCCCAATTCCTAGTTAAATTACTTTGACATGAAGTGAAGACATGCTGATTATCAACAACCTGTGGTTTTAAGGTATTTTGAAAAAACCTGGGAGTGACTAACAAGGCAACTTCAAAGTGGAGAGAGATTTTTGGCTAGAGCTTTGAAGTGAAGTAATTACATTCTGTTTAAAATGTTTAACTAATAACATGCTCCCCAAATGTACCGGGTGGCAGGGGGCGGTGGAGAGTCCTTAGAATAATGTAAAGAAACCCAGTGATATGCCCAAGCATCAACACTGTTAATGTGATGTGCAGCACGAGAACATATATGCACATCTCATTCACTCACATAACCAGAAGGAAGACATTGGATACCCCCGCCCCCCCTCCCCCCGCCCCCCGCTCTGAATTCTACTCCAGCAAAAAAGAGTTCATCCCACCCGGCTTCTCTGTACTGTGTCGCCATCTGCTGGCAAGTCTGCAAAACTGCACCTCGGTGAGGTGCCTGTTAGATCTGTTCCACTGACCTTGCTCCAGGAGCTGGAGGTCAGACACAAACGCCGAGTCCGCCTCCGTCAGGGCGGTGAACCGAATGTCTCCAATGTGTAACACGGCTGCTAGAATCACAAACAGATTCTCCACCTCCTACGCGGTGTACAAATACAGAAAATGAATGGGCTTGCTTAGAAGAAAGATGAAAAGAAATCCTTTTAAAAACCTCAAAGTAGGTTAAAAAAAAAAAAGATGTGCATGCTATTAGTGGCAGTGTGATGTTTTTCAGATCCAGAATGTTCCCTAAAAGAACTGCCAATCTCTAACTCCAAATCCAAAACCTCGTAATTCAACACTTGTTCCTGAAGTCCACATTTCTATACCTTAAACAAAAGAGGAAGAGGGCAAGGAAGTGACGTTCTGATATTAACAGATGGTTTCTGGAAAAGTATCAGGATGAAAAATGGATGATCATGTAGTGATGGTCCGACTGGCTGGGCGTCAGCTGTAGAGTCAGACTTTATACATCTCCTCCCAGAGAGCGCAGTTACTGTATCCATCTCATAGTCATCTCTCTTATAAGATAAACTGATTATGATTATAGAATTTTTAATTTCTGCTAGAAAATTAGTGGAAGAGGCACAATGAAAACAATTTGCCTATACAAACAAAATGCTAATTTTAAAGGTATTTTAAGGAACACTCGGGGGAAAAGGATGTTAGTGAGAGCGACCTTTGAGCAGAAGGTAGCAGGAGGTGTGAGAGTGTTTCCTTAAAGAATATCTGAGAACCTGGAACTCTGCATAAAGAAAGAAATTAGACCTTAGATTTGTTTTTGGATAGTCCTTTTGTGGTAAGAATGAAAAGTCAAGAAAAAGCGGTAAGCTGAAACGTGCTTCTCCAGAGTTGCAAATGTCTAGTGTTATGATATCAATAGTAAAAATGTGTAAGCCTTCTTGAGGACAAGGGACATAACCTACCAAACTCTCAGTTTCCTAATCTGTAACTTGGGAATAAAAAGCTCCTGCTTGTGGAAATTTTTCTAAGAACAATTATTATCTGCTTTATAAGCACATAGTTGATACAATACAGTCCTTGAGACTTTCATTAATTTCCACTCTCATGAACTTTCAGTTTTCATATTAAGGTTCAATTTTATTATCTTTAATATGAGAACATTGAAAAGGATAATCTGTAAGTAATTTTCAAGAATGATACTCTATGACTGTAGCATTGCTTAGAAAGTTATTTGGTAACTTCGAAATCCTAAATTGGTGTTTCAAATTTTATTCCTTCATGCTTGTTTACATAACATTTCCTCCTCCCTTTTCAATAAATCTAGCAAATCCTCACTAAATTTTCCAGTGCCCTGTGAGATGGCACACCTGGATACAGACAGGGAGACTCTGTTCTGTCCTCAAGGATCATACAGTTCAGCGATGGAGACAGAGCTGGGAAAACTAGCCCTAATCCGAATTACAATGTGCTACTACGCGATACAACGCGATACTATGCGGGCAGAGGCAGGGGCTGCGGCTCTGTGCCTGGGCGCCGTGAGCCAGCCCGCCTCTCCTCCGTGCGGCCGGCTGCGTGGTGCTGGTGGAGGACCGAGGCGCCGGCGCCTTTACAGACAGATCTCCCGGGACCACAGTCACACGCCTTGATTCAGGGTCTTGCCGGCCCAGAAGTACCTTCCCCCAATCTCAGGGGACAGTCTTTTCCTCCTAAGCGGACCCAGGTGTCACCATCCCAGTCACTCCCAAGGCTTGAGATGACGTGATTACCTTCATGCCTTCTGTTAAAATGCACGTATTCCTTTTACTAAAAAGCTTGTCAACCCCCTGCTGGCTACCTGAGATGGAAAGTATGTTCTGCCTGCCCTGCCTCTGAGGACCAGGCATGGACTTTTAATACCCTGTTTCCAAGCAACTGACCTTTTGGAGGAATGGCCCCTTGGCCACCCCTACATTCCAGTTTCCTCTAAGGAAGCGG